TCCAGGCCCTTATGCCTCTCTTGGATGCTTGCTACCTTCTTGCCAAGACCTTCAGCACATGTGCCTAGGCAGAGTTTTGGAGAAGCGGGGGCTGCCTTAGGCCTGTCATCCCCTCTTTAGACCACTGAGCCAAAATCCAAAGGCCAGAACAAGTCTAGTGACAAAGAGGTTGTAGCTTCTGCCAGAGAGCAACCTGAATAGAGCTGCTAACTGCCTGTTGCTTCAGCGTGAGCACTTTTTCTGTTGGAATGAGGTCCCTTAGCCTTTCTTCAACCAAGAAGTGTCCACAAGGCAGCGGAGGACACGGTTTAATGTCATCCCCAGAACGTGTCTTGTGCCGCTGACCTAAATTATATCAGGCTTCAAAGGGGACAGGTAAGTAGCCATCTGGGATAGTTGTATGCAGCAGGCAGCTGTGATAACACCTCACCAGCCTCTTAGCTCGGCTTTGGGAAACACTACCCTGGATTAAGCTGCGCAGAAAGGACCATCTGCTGGTGTAACTTAGACAGGTAACTTATTCCTGATTTTTCCTGATTCAGTTCTACACCGCATTCAAATGAGTTATGCAACGAACAGTCCCACACTAGTGTGTCTGCTCCATTTCTGTGCCAGTTTCAAGAGTACTTTCACTGGTGTAAATGTGGTGTTTGTCTAGGCTGGAAGCCTGCAGTTCAGTCCCCATAGTTTCGGTCAAAATGGTGGCTGTTGCACCAGCCCTCTGTTACATTAATTTCTCATGCTGCTTGTGGCTCCGCTTCTCTGCTCAGGTTGCTGTTTAACTGGCTTCATTCTTGTTCCTCTGAGTCAGCAGCTCCCCCGCATCAAATTCCAAGCCAGGTAGCTCCCACTGGAAGGGTGCTGGCTCAGCATGTTCAGACTTTTATTTTTAAAACTATTACCAAACTGACATAGTAAATCCTTTCAGAGTTTGGCATTGCTGAAACAGTTCACCAGAACTGCTTCAGCTCCAGGCCACCCATCTCTGCACAAGCTCTTACACTGTTTTTTTGAAAGACAAGTTGAAATGGTGAAGTAACGCAGTAAACCTGTTGCCTGGATTTTACCTCTGTTTCCAAAATTAATTGTCACCTCTCTCCCGATAAGGATCGACTGCAGACCCCTCAAACCAGTGTTCCTTGTAGATGCAAGATTTATAACTAGAGGGTTGTTTAGAGATATACAGTCAGTGCAGTGTGGATCATGTGTCACATCCATCTTCAGTGTGATATAGTGCCATAGCCAGAAGAGCAACAGCATTATTCTTCCTATTTCTTAATAAGCGACTCTGAATGACAGCTGTGCCTTGAAAACTGAAAATGTCTTCCCCACATTTCAGGCCTTGGGCACATTGCTGAGTTGTGCATGAGGACAGGGGGGAGAGGTTCATACATATGGTGATTCAGGTTGTAATAAGGGGTCAGAAAAGTCACTTAATAGGATGAAAGGCTTGAGAAATGGCATGTAAAAAAGCAGAAGTATAACACACGCTCTCTTTAGGCCTGAGCAAACATTGTGGATTTATTCAACGCTTTCCCTTTCCTCCTTTCTTAACGGGACGTTGCCAGAGAAGATGTTAGGCACAATATTGAAAAGTGCAACGGGTGTTAGGGAAGTTTAAGAATACAGAACTTAAAGGCACCTCTGAATGTTGAAATGCTTAGAGGTCGTGCACAGTTATATGGGAAAAACTGACTGCAAAGTATGCTGAATGGAGTCCCCAAGCAAGGTGACTAGATCCAATAAAGCAGTGCTTTGAGACCAGTATTAAAAGGTGAAGATAGGATCGCTTTGAAATTCCTCATAGCACTGTCCTTCAGTGCTCTCTTCTATGAAGAATCTTATTTCAAGGCTCTAGGTCTCCATCAGTGATCAGTGACTGAACTTCTGCAGCTCTAGTAAGGTGACCAAGGGGAGGCAGAGGTTATTTTTGATAGAAGGTGATTTAAACTGGACTTTCAGTGTAGTTGTTAATGCTGATGGCTGTCTGCACTAGGCAGCTGCAGATAGCATTTTTATGATTGTCTTTATTCCCATGGACAAGCTGAAGTTCCCTGTATTCTTTAAAGGGTAGCTAAATGATTAGTTTTTTCCAGACAAAAGGAAGCCAGGTATTATCAGTGGTGGGTGGTGAATGTGCTCCACTGCCCCTCACATTGAGTACTGAAGTAAAGATGCATAAAACACCTATTTGTTATGCATCCTTGTGTTCCAAACCTCTTTAATTTCAGTGTCACAGGAAGTACTGGACAAGTAAGTAACTGGTTACTTTGGTAGTGTCCTGTATTCGTGACCTATCCCAGCCACATCAGATTTGCTCTTCCTGGTTATAGATCAGTGGGGGCGGGGATCAGCCTTTTTGGCAAGTGCAGCACAAATTAGCCTTGAAGCCTCCCCAAGTGCCACTCTGATCCCCTGCTCAGTCTGCTGCTTTCTTTTCTGCTCCCATCCTATTCTGGTCAGCTTTCTGCTCCTTGCCCTCTGCTCCCTGCCCTATTTGCCACTGTGCCGCCTACCCCATCCCTGATCTGTCTTGTGCCACAAACCAGGGCTGCCTGTGCTGCGGGTTGGCGACTCTTGTTCTAGCCTATGGCTTCTAATTAAAAGTCTGTTGCAGAAGCTGGTTGTACACCAGAGGCTTGATTTTGCTCATCCTGGGTCTCTGGCATTGTGGGGGTGGTGCAGTTCCCACAGTGAGAATGTGAAAATAAAGCCCAAATAAATTGTGAGCACTGTTGGCTGTGGGTGAAATGCAGTGATCTGGCTTAGATCCTACATAGCTGTAGGGAAGAGCTGGCACATTCTCGAGGTGAAGCACATGCATGCCCAGCCAGGGACCACCAAGAAGACTTCACTGTCACTCCCACCTCCCAGCTACTACATTAGTGTAGGTGCTAGAGCAAAGGCTGCAGCGCCTTCTCATCACTTACATGAATCTATGAACATGGGATTGAGGTCTTGGCAGCAGTAAATCTGCATGAATCAGCAATTCTACCATAGCTCAGTCCTGTCACAGCCTCCTTTTTTGGCTGGTTTAAAGTGGGGGCATGCCTGCATAGGTGTTCTCTGCCCAGACTTCCCACGGAGCCCCAATTCACCCTGGGTCATAATCCTGGCCAAGTGCCCAGCTGGTGCATTTCACATTTCCTCTTTTCAAAAGGGTGATCAGCACCAAATCATGGAAACTTTCACTGTATGCTGAACGGTCTCTCTGGTTTTTCTGTCTGGCCATAGTTTTGTATCAGCTTGCCTGCATTCTGCTCTTGTGAAATGACTGTTCAGCTACAGTTGGGCATTGGCAAAAGTATTTAGGGCACAGTTCAGTTCCTGTTGCACCTCGCCAGCGACAGTGTAAAGAATGTTGAAAGACCATATTGGTGTAATAATCAACCCACGTGAGTGCTGGGAGGTTAATTGGGAAGTCTCCACAACCATCAGACTGCATGAAATTGTGGTGTGCACTAGTTACACTAATACTTTGTAAATGTTCATTGCTGTACAAGTCACTTTTAAACCGCTATTCATGTGGCTTTAAAGTTCAGCCTCCCTAAAACAATTGCTTGCATGAAAAAGTAATGTTAGGGAAGTCTTTGATGCCCTATTATGGCTGGAGAGGAGGGAGGAGAGTCAGTTGTATGTGAATGCTGTTGAGTTGGGTGTTAAGACATCACTTTGCACAGCCAGCCTACTACATTGGAAATAAAAGCACTATATACATTGCTGACTGGCCAGGTAAAACCACAATGCCTCCTGCAAACCAGCTGATCAGAAAGCACAGTTAACTTCACTGGCAAATTGCTGCAGCCAGTCCAGGGGGTTTTATTCACTCAGCTGACTCAGATGCAGATGTTGGGAGAGCTGAGTAAGAGGAAAAGAGGGAATGTTGGGATTTCCATCCCTATTGTGACATTGGTGTGTTTAATTTTTAGAGAAAAACAAATATCAAACAGGTGTAACAGCGGTACCTAGAGGCAGCTCCATTGTGCTCAGCATTTGACAGATGTGAAGAGATGGGCCCTGATCTGAGAGGTTAACCATCTAAATATATAGGAGAAAGGAAGTCTCAAGTATTAACCATTTCAATGGATCATCAACCTAGGCACTACATTACAAAGAGGGAATCTATAGCAGAGCAGAGGCCTGGACTCAATGCCTCCAGTCTTGGGCGTAACCACAAGACTATCTTCTTTCCTTGGTTTTTAGAAATACAGCATTGCCCAGTAGTGGTGCAAGATAATGACAGTGTCCATGACAGCTGGTTCAAGACAACAGGAAGTTGCTAGCATGTTAGCAAGAATAGAAGGCATTTATTTGTTATAGTTTTGGGGCAAACAAATGCAAAAACTTTGGAAATGGATCCCTTGGCAAAATGAGTTAAGCCCTTAGTAATGAAACCCTTCCTGTTAATCAACCCGAGAGAGGTTTGTGTTTTTTTTACCCCACGTACAAGTCTGCAAGTCCTCCACAACTGTCACCAGGCCTCTCTGCCATGGAGAAGTATTCCTCACACCCTAACAGGAAGGGGTGGTGATTACTGCAAATCTCTCCCCCCACCTTTGTGAGGCTTTTATTGTGTGTGATGTAGAGGATTTCATGCCTGAAAGCTTCCAATAAAGTCAGAACAATGTCCAGCAACACCCGAGGAAGGAATTTTCCTACCTGTATTAACTGCATCTTGGGACGTTCAAATTCTGCCCCTGGAGAAAGTGGCATGCTTCACACACTTGCAGTGTTTGCATGTGAGGAGTGACAAGCTGCCAGGGTGAAGTTCAGTCATATATTTGGACTGTGTGTTGCAGAGGGAACACCAGGTATTTTCCATGTTTCCTGGGAGAATTTAGATGGTGAATACTGACAGGTGCTTTGTCTTGTTGTGGCACACATAAGCCCCTAGCATGGGCCAGTAGGTGCTGTACTGGCACCAAACAAAGAGGCAGTCCCTGCTCCAATGAGCTTGCAGTCTAGGCAAGTTGCACTGCTGACACTGCCTTTATTTTCAGGTGTCCTGGTGGGTGTCATCCTTCGCTATGGAATCCACGTTCCCAGTGATGTTAACAACGTGACCCTAAGTTGCCAAGTGCAGACTAGCCCGGCCACGCTGTTAGTGAACGTTAGTGGGAAGTATTACGAGTATACCCTGAAAGGAGAAATCAGTCCCCAGGAGCTCAATAATGTCCAGGATAATGAAATGCTGAGAAAGGTAAGCTGTTTGGCATCTGCAATCTGTGCATGGCCTGACTCTTGGCAGAAGGTCAGAGACAGTTTGGGCCAAATCCTGCACCATTTTGAATCAATAAGCATTTTACTTTTAACTTCAGTGGGGGCAGGGTCCAGGTAAAATGTAATTCGGAACATTTAATATATTGAAACTACAGGAGCTAATTTGAATTTGTACTTTTTGCAACAAATGATTGCATTTCCACGTTAGATTCTTGTCCTGTTCACAAAGCTTTTGGGCTGAAATGTATCTTACAACATATAAAGTTGACTTGCTTCTACCTGTTTTGTCTCAAATACCAATTCCACCTTTGTTGGTTTTTTTCAACAGGTGACATTTGACCCTGAAGTATTTTTCAATATCTTGCTCCCTCCAATTATATTTTATGCTGGATACAGCTTAAAAAGGGTAAGTCTTCATTTTAAAGTTCCCAGCATTTTAGAGTGTTAGTTCTTAGAGTACAGCAATACAGTGCCAAGGTCAGCAGGCCACATTTACAGTATGTGATACCATATTCTGTTGTAATTATCTCTAGAATAACCACTGCACAGTATCAGAGCCTAGTGTGGTGCATACAGAAGGGAATTTTGTTAGCTTTAAACGCTCTAGCATTTCAGTCTACAGACTTCCCTAAAGCACAGTGAGTACAAAGGATCAGTTACCGGAAATCCCGTACAGAAGGATGAAGTCTGGGAATGGAAACTCATAGCCATCTTGGGCTCCTGTGTGTGTTTGCATATTGTGTGCTGGTATGGAGTTAATGTGGCATGTTATCAAGGGCTGTGAAAAGCAGAGGTAGGGGAACTGGGGCTTTAGTGTGACTGATCACTGAGGGAGAACATAAGCTTCCTTAGGAATTCCCCTGGAGGCAGCTGTTAGAAACTGTTTACAAGTCCTTAAGTAAAATTAGGTCATGTGCAGCTCTCTGCCTTTTAGACACGGGCAACAGGCTGTTCACTGAACAGCCAAGCCTCAGAAATGCTGATGTGTGATGAAGGAAAATGAGCCCGTTTGGACCATGTCCTTTCTGTGTTGCACATCAGTTCCCCAGTACTCGGCAAGAGCAAGCTAGTAAAGCCAGCTGGTAAAAGCAAGTCATTTTGTCCATTAGCAGCAAGTAGCACTGCAGTAGCATCTGGGGCACAGTTGTGGATCACTGTTTACCCAGCATTTAGCACACAGTAGTCTTTGTTCCAGAGAACTTAGATGAAATACCAACATTGCATTGATTCATGTATCCTGGCACATGTATTCTCTTGAAAATAAAGCAGCAGGACTACTGTAATGCTGTGTGTGCTTTCTATTCTAGAGGCATTTCTTCAGAAACCTGGGGTCAATCCTAGCATATGCCTTTCTTGGAACTGCAATATCCTGTCTTATGATAGGGTGAGTATTGGAAGCCTGTTTTCTTTTGCAGTATGGTAAACAGCATTGGCTTAAAATGGAGTGAAATAGAAGCTGGAACTCCCATTCTAGAAATAGAACCTGAACCCGAGTTCTAATCCCAGCTCTGACAAGTCACTCAACCCCATCGTTTCATGGAATAGGAATATTTATTTCCGTACCTTTAAACGGTGGGTGAGGATCAATGTGTGTCTTGACTTGGTGTCTTTCCATAAGTGCAGTGAGTTTAATTTTATATAAAATTATAATCGTGTATGTAAATGTAGATCTCTCTCTCTCTCTCTCTCTCTCTCTCTCTCTCTCGCATGCGCACACACACACTTTAAAATTCTCCATAGTGTCATAGGTCTTGTGATACCAGGTACTACTTTAAGCCATAGTGTGTAGGATTGTGCAAACATTGATAAATAAAATAACTAGCAGAGCAGTCTGACAAATAAAATGCAGCTTAAAAATACAACCCTAAATTGTAATAGTGCCTACACTGACTTGGCTGGGTTTCTACAAGTAGAGCTTTAGTATTAACTGTAGAGAAACTCCATGGGGAATAAAGGCGTGAAAAGTTTTTAAGGAGCAGTACAGAATGCTACCAGGCTGTGATCTGTTCTTCTGGTACTTGAATGTGACCAGACTGGAGAAACTTGTTACAAGATGTAACTTAAAAAAAAAAATCGTTTAGGTTTTCCCAGCTTTTTTCTTTCTTTTTTAACTTTCTTTGCCTGAAAGCTCTGTGGAAGTGTGCCTTTTCTGGAGTGGAGGGAGTTGTCTCAAGTAATACAAAGGAAGACGGTTGACATAAACAGTAAATTTTCTCTCGTTTCAGAAGCCAGTCACCTAACATTTTCCCAGGTCCACCCTGTATGCTGTGCCTGATCTAACCTGTGATTAGCAGAGCAATGCCCTTTAGCTAGTAGGTTACAATAGGAGCATAACTAGCAACAGCCAATACAATTTTACATTTAAAAATGCTATTCGGAAGCAAAACAGTAGGGGAGTTATTATGATGTGTTATATCGGTAGGTCAACACAGCTTAGGTTTGCCCTCAGATTTTGCTGGTTATGCCATGCTGTGATCCTGTTTAGGATTATTCATTTATGCAGGTAGAGGGAACAAATTCTTATTCCAAGAAGTAAAATGTCACAATTGCGCAGAATGCTTTCTAGAGGAGAATGTTGTAGATCAGGGGTTGGCAACCCCTGGCATGCATGCCAAAGCATGGCATATGAGACCATTTTGCTCAGCATGCTACAGGTGATGCAGGCTCTGGACAGTTGCTACTGGCCACAGAGCCTGGGCTGCTTGCAGCAGGTGGCAGGGAGGCTGCAAGCCGTGCTACAAGCAGTCTGGGTTCTGTGACAGGCAGGAGCTGCCAAGAGCCTGGGCTGGCTGTGGCAGGTAGCTGAGAGGCTGGAAACAGCTGCACCAGGCTCTGGAGCCCTGGCTGGGGTCCATGGCAGTGGTGGCTGCACACATGCCTCAGGGCACAAGGCTGGGAAGGGGTCTGGGGCAGTGCAACCCTGGCCTTTCCCCTGCTGTGTGCCCCAAGGCGTGTGTGCTGCTGCCATAGAACCAGTGCCAGGGCTCTGGAGCCCAGCTGGAGCCTGGTGCAGCTGTTTGCAGCCTCCTGGCTGTCTGCCACAGCTGGTCTGGGCTCTGAGCAGCTGCAGCAGGCAGCTGGGAGGCTGCAAACAGCTGAATCAGGGTCTGGAGCCCCAGCACCGGCTCTGGGCAGTAATGGCTGCACATGCGCCTTAGGGTGCGTGGCAGGGAAAAGGCTGGGGCAACACAATCTGGGTTTCTCCCCTGCCATCTGCTCAGTGGCATGCATGCACCCATTGCCATTAATGAGGATGAGGCCTCTGGTGGCTCCCCCATCACACCAAGTTGAGGCATGTGTCAAGGTTGGGGTGTTTTTGACACTCTGGCCAAAAACGTTGCTGACTTGTGTTGTAGATTAAATCAACCTCAGCCTTCTTCTAGACTTGTCTCAGATAAGGGTGGGGCTGATCTAAAAGCCGGGGAACAACTGTCGTGTTGTCAGAAGTAAAAAGAAAAACAAATCTTGTGAAATTGCTGAGCTGTGGGACACAAGAAGATCTCTGCTGTGTTCCACTAACTGTTCAACATATAGTCTATCAGCTGCATTTTTAAGCACTTTTATGCCTAGCGGAGTTCACATATTAAATCCATTTTGCTGCCAGCTGGATTTACTGTACTAGTAATTCACTTCATGGGACCTGACAGTACTGAGCAGTTCCCAGGTTTGGCTCCTTGTCTAAAGCCTCAAGTCAAGCTGATGGTCAAATGCCATGGATTTTGTGTAATATAAAAATTGAACAGAAGACTGGATATTTAGGTAACTACAAGAGTTAGACTTGCATCTTAAGGCAATTCAGTTCTTTCAAATACTGCTTGCATGTATTTCCAGTATACATAGTTGCTTCTGCTTATTCGACAGCTCCATCATGTATGGCTGCGTAGCCCTGATGAAAGTCACTGGACAGCTTGGAGGGGATTTTTACTTTACTGACTGTCTCTTATTTGGTGCCATCGTATCAGCCACCGACCCAGGTATCTTGGAGTGTTACTATTTTTCTCATGTGTTACTGACATACTGTTATAGTTCTCTGGACTACTCTTCCCTCCAGCTTTCAAAGGATAGTGCAGAGCATCCTATAGTGCTGGGGGAGTCCACAGCTCAGGGTGCTGTAGCAGTGCAATACAGTAGGGGAGTCTGTGGCTAGGGAGCTGAGGATGAGGCAGGCTAGCCAGGTGCGTGGTTTGGGGGGGGTGTTGCGTGGCCCTGGGGATCAGTAGCTGGAGCTCACATGGCCCACACTAGCGCAACCCATGGAAGGTGCGACTCCCAGCTGCTTAGAAATTGGACAGTGCTGAATTAGTAGCTGAAAAATCAGACTTCCTCCAAAGCTGAGCATTTGCACTGAAGTCATTGGGAATCTTTTGTTGCCTTTAATGAGCATTTGGGGAGATGAGAGTGAGTGGTGGAACCAGCGCCCTTGGCAAACAGTGTGCGCTGTGTGAAGTTGGGGTGTTTTCAGTGTGCATCTGATAGCACCTCTTTCCTCAAACTGACGTGTGGGTGGGTGTGAAACTGGCTTTAACTGCTGTAAGGACAGTGGTGATTGCAAATCAGAAGCACTATGCAAAAGTGCACGGAGGGGGCAAGTGAACAGGAGAGCAAACAGGGCAGTTATAAGGCAGCTCACCTGGGGAGGAGGAGGGAGGTAAAAGGAAAAGGAGCAGGATCTGGTTGCCAGCCCCTGGAAGGTGAGTGCAGTAACCAGACATCCTACCAGCTCCATGACACTTGGTCCTGACTGGCTCCAGAGCCATTGAGTATTCAATGTTCACCTAAGATCTCCAGCATCATAAACACTTCTGGGTGAATTGGGGAAGTCCTCTTTAGCGTTTACTTAATGTATGTATGTACTTGTATATACAGCTATGAATAAGCAGCCAAGTATCGCTAATGCTCTGTTACCCAAATACAAATATTACATGACACAAACAAAGAACACAGTAAAAAATAGCTATCACTAGTGGCTCTTTACAGAAAACAAAGGGAAGAGCCACCATGGCTTGTCTCTCACTACTAGCTACTTTACTCCCTTGTGTGCTGTTTGCTACAGAAGCTGGCTTGCCCAGATGTGCCAGCCTGATAGGCCATCTAGGTTGTGTGGACCTTTGGCCTTGATCATCTTATCCATCCGTTATGTCCCTCATTAAAGAAATAAAATTAAAAATAAATGGTTGTCTCATTTTATAATAATGCTTCAAAACAACATTTTTCAATAGAGCAACCACATTTTTCTGATTGTTGTTCTACATATTGTAGTAGTTTTAATTTAGTTTGATTTAATGTTAAAGCCACAGTCATCTGGACAGCCGCTCATCAATAAAATATTTTGAGAGTGAACTTCAACTTTCCCAGCTTCTCCCCATGCATTTTATGGTGTCTGTTTGTTTAGACTGTTCATTCTTCTAGGGAAGGACTTTCTTCCATGTCGTGTACAGCGCCAAGCAAGCTGCTAGTGCTTAACACCTTTTGGCCCCCATTCAGGAAAGCCTCCAAATATGCTTATGTCTCTGACTTACATGAGACTAACACATGTCCATAAAGTTAAGGATCTGCATGAGAGAGTTCTTGAATTAGGAACGCTTTTTCAAGCTACGTAAAGCATCATGTAATCTTTTGTTGATCTGTGGATTTTCTGTGCGTGTGTGTAAATGGGTTAAACCTCCTTAAATGTGCTCACTTGAGTTCCTTGCCTTGTATCTGATGGGTATTTTAAAAGGACTTTTAGGGTAGCCACATTACACTGGTCCAAGCATCTGTGGGTGATGCCTTGGTGTGATGTTGCCTGACACAAGAGTAAGGATTCCTGTGTACATTATATCAGACATTCTTACTGATCCCATGAGAGTGATGCTAAAAGTTGCTGCATGTTCATTATCTCCTTGGAGTTTTAGCACTGCAGAAACAGTAGGTACAATTCAGCTGTCTGGGACACTGCAGTAAATCCAGAGTATCTGAAAGTGGGATTTGGTCCAGCAATATCTTTCTCAGCCAGCCCTACAATTCTAACACAGCAGCACTGGCACTTGCCTTGATTCATGTCCATATCAATAGGCACTTGGGGACGAAGTCAGGCCTTCTGCATGACAGCATCAGAAGTGAAAATCAATCTGTGGAGGGACAGCTGTTTTACTGGAGAGAAGCAAATCTTCAGTCTCTGTGTCCTGCCCCCCCCCTCCCTTTTTTTTTTAAATCTGTTTAGCAGCAGGGGAAAGACTGTCAAAGATTGCCTGTAGAACAGTGGTTTTCAACCTTTTCTCCTTTGCGGACCCCCAAATCATTTTGAATGGAGTATTCACACCCTTTTGATTGATCATAGGCATCTTTTTTGGAGCCCTTAGACAGTGTGCAAACCCCCAGGGTTCTGTGGGCCATAGGTTGCAAACCACTGCTGTAGAGTATAACATCACTGCTCATCTCCATTACTGAGCTACTGCCGTCATAGCCCTGCTGATGTGGGTATAGCATCAGGGCCACCCAGTTGAGATGTGGACTGTGGTGGTAGAAGCGTTCTTTTTTGTCAGTGTAACTACACTACCTTTCTGAACAACCGCCAGCAGGAGCCCTCTTTGTCAGCAGAGCTGGATTCAGATGGAAAGTTTTGCTAGCATAGCTATGTTGGGCAGGGTGTGATCTTTACAGATCCTTAGCTGGCTTAGGTGTGCCAGCAGAACTTTGTAATGCAGACTAGACATACATGCCAATATGTTAAGGGAAGCAGAAGCCTAAAAGGGGTGGTTTTATTTTAATCGGAAAAAAGAAGTAGTAATGTCACCCTTTTAAATGTTTCTCTATTTTTCTATTCGTCAGTGACTGTTCTTGCCATATTCCATGAACTTCAGGTTGATGTTGAGCTGTATGCCCTTCTCTTTGGCGAAAGTGTCCTCAATGATGCCGTTGCCATAGTGCTGTCTTCGTAAGTGTGTTCTGTTCTTTTTTTTAATTGTTTTGTATGTTACATGTTAGACATTAATAACCATCTGGTCTTGCATCTGAGAAAATGGGAATAGCAATATTTGCAATAATCATAGTTCAGTATTAATCGTCACAATAAAGTCATCGGCCTTAATCACCCTCTAATTAGCCACACAATGAAAGACTGCTGTTGGGAATTGAAAGCAGTACTGAGGCCATAATTACAGCTGTTAGTGATTTTTTTTTTTTTGCCTGTTAACACCCACCTGCAATGTGAAAAAGGAACATGTCTGCTCTTTTGCTGTGGAATCCTACTACTGCTACTCATGGGTAAAATCACTGCCACTCGCTTCTTTACCCACACACCTGCCTTTCTTTTGGTGGAAATAGTTAATATTGCCACTTGATATCTTGCATGGAGAACCCAGTGCCAGAAATGTGGTGCCTCCTCAAAGCCAGGGAATGCTTTCAAGTTTGTGCACCTGTAGCATATTGTTGTTGCATATCCATTGTATTTGTCACCATAGAAGCTTGTTTGGCAATATATATTTGTCCTGATGGAGACTTATTTGTGGTTAAGATTAATGAAGAAAATTAGCATTTTCTGAACTACTGGAAACCCCAGATCAGTCATTGCACAGATAGCCAGTGAAGCACAGGGTCCTTTCTGCAGTGCTGTGCAAGCCAGTAAACAGCACCTGGTGATCAACTATATCGGGGGCAACAGAGAGCTCCAGCAGCCCAAGGAGGGAACTCCTACCTGTATCCCTCACTAGGAGAACATCGTCTTTAAGTGCTGTTGAAATCATCTCTGGGCTCAGCTGTGGTCTGAATGCCGTCGTGACCAATCCAGGGTGCTGGCTGATGTCACATGTTCTTGGAGCTTTGTGATCACTTATTTTTCCATCATTTTGCTCATGGTAGGGCAGTGGGGGATGGGATTGTCACTGCAATGATCTTCCGGGCCCATTGTTGGCTTTTTGAGGACATTTTCAAGGACTTTGGTAACCATGCTTCACTGAAGGAGGCACTAACACTTTCCATTGGTGGTGAGCATAGATCTTAACTGGTTTTCCCCATTCAAAAGGGGCAAGAGGCCACTTTTTCAAATGGTGGCTCTAATATTTCCTGTATTGTGTATGATGAGGCCAAATTTGCTTGGCAGTGGCTGAGGCAAGCAATGCAGTCTAGTGAGGAGTGACTCTAGTCACTGTCTGGGTGAAATGGAGATTGACCTGAAAAGTGGCATGATTTTCACTGTCCAGGCCTAGCCTGAAGATAGGATCCTAAATATTGGTCAGGTGAGTGCAAGTCCAGCAGCTGCCTGGGAGAAATGTCTAGTTTATGTTGGTCTTGAAATCAAGTACTGGTTGGCAACAGATTTTTTGTCATGGCTGAAGTTGCTGAGGACAAGAAATCTGGGAGACTCCAGTACTGTGCTGGGCAGCTGCTTGGGGATTTCCTTTTGGAAGTCAACAGGGTTTCTATCTGTGCATTATCAGGAATTGAAGGGGACTGGGGTGGTGTGGGCACTAAGGTTCATGGTGACAGCCCAGAGGTCACAAGCTCAAGGCCATAGCAGAGGCACTCATGGCATGGCCCTGTCAGATTCTAGCGAACCACAAATTCTGCTAAACACCTTGTCACAAGGACACAAAAAAGGAAAGGAAGGAATCCAAGGCTCCTCTTGTCTTTGGGTTCACAGCTGGCATAGCTGCACTTGACAAGATAAGATAAGATGGGATTCAATACTGACAAGTGCAGGGTGCTGCACCTGGGGAAGAAGAACCAGCATTATACCTACAGGCTGGGGAGCTCCCTTCTCATCAGCACAGAGGCAGAAAAGGATCATGGAGTCTATATAGACTTCAAGATGAACATGGGCTGCCAATGTGGGGACATGGTCAGGAAGGCTAACCGCACCTTGTCATGCATCCACAGATGCATCTCAAGCAGGTCCAAGGAGGTGATCCTCCCCCTCTATGCGATGCTGGTCAGCCCTCAGATGGAGTACTGCATCCGGTTCTGGGCGCCGCACTTCAGGAGGGATGTGGACAACATGGAGAGGGTCCAGAGGAGGGCCACCCGCATGATCAGGGGGCAGCAGGGCACGCCCTCTGAGCGGAGGCTACGGGACCTGAACCTGTTCAGCCTCCACAAGAGAAGGCTGAGAGGGGATCTGGTGACTGTCTATAAACTGGCCAAGGGAGACCAGCAGGCAATGGGACAGTCCCTGTTCCCCCGAGCACTACCAGGAGTAACAAGGAATAAGGCCATAAGTTGACAGAGTAGATTCAGGCTAGATATCAGGAGGCACTACTTCACTGTCAGGGCGGCTAGGATCTGGATCCAACTTCCAAGGGAAGTAGTGCTGGCTCCTACCCTGGGGGGCTTCAGAAGGAGGCTAGATAGACACCTTGCCAGGGTCGTTCGATCCCAGCGCTCTTTCCTGCCCATGGCAGGGGGTCGGACTTGATGATCTGTTCAGGTCCCTTCCGACCCTACCAACTATGAAACTATGACTATTTTGTCTTCTGGCACCTTCAGTGCCTGATGCTGGAGGGGGTTACTCCACCTTTTCCCTCTAGCCTCTGGTATGTTCTGGAGCCTGCCTTGACTTGTGACACGAATTCTGGTGGAGACCGACTGTAACGGTGGGGTTGGAGGTGGATCTGAGCTCAGTGAGGCAGGCATGGCAGGTACTTCATCCCCAGTCAGATAGTGGGGGAGCTGATGTTACTGATTGTGGATTTTCTCTGGCAGTAGACTTCAGGCTGCCATTTCCTCCTCTTTCTGCTGTTGACTGATATCACTGACTGAGTACATGGCTTTGGTTAGGGTGCTGTGGGAAGAGTGGGTTGTGGCATGAACTGGGAGAGGCATTTTTCCCTTCTGATTTGCCTTCAGCAAGGAGCACTTCACATGCATGCACACCGAATGCCATGGGGGAGTGGGAGGAGCGTGTGAGATGGGTAGGCGGTAGGAGGAGTGGGTGGCCCTCAAAGTGGAACTGGCCTTTTGAGTTGTTTGGATTCTGTGAAAGGGAGGAAGAAAAACCCAAAGCTTCACCCTCTGCTTCCTGGCAAGGTTGTGAAGGTACTTTCACGACTCGTGGCTGGGCTGACGGCCAGGCACCAAGTTTCAGTGAGGAGGAACTGAATCTCAGAATTAAGTAGTACTGCGTTGGGCGCGTGTAACGATAAGGTTTTAACATCTGTATGCAAGTAAAGTCACAAAGTCATTTTATAGAGGCCAGTTTCATAAATGTTGTGAAACTAAATAAAAGCAGTTGTGAGCTAAATCGTCTGGGGGAATTTAGATGAATAATTGGAAACGCTTTAAGAACATTTTACAAGGAATTTAAAAGACACCACTAAGAGAGACAGCAATACTGGGTAGGAAAAAAGAAGCTGGCTTAGACAAGAAGTGCAAACAGTTTTCAAATTTAAAAGCCAAGAGAGAACAAATGGGGGGAAAAGGGAACACGAGCGTAATACATTTAAATCAGAAGCTACAGAGAAGAAAAGAGAAATCTGTGGCCAGCAGTATTGAGGACAATAATGACTTTGAGTGTATTAGGAGCCAGAGGGCTCATAACAATGATATTGAACCAATACTAGATGGAAGTGGTGGTATTGTCAGTAGTGCAAGATAAGGTTTTTTTTCCTTTTGGGGAAAAAAGCACATGATGTTTTCATCTTGTACAATAGAATCTGGTCCAGTAAAAACCCAGGGTGTTAGAGTATAAAAGATGCACCTTCTTAAAGGAACAGAACCAGATAATTTGCAACCAGGTGTTTTAAAAGAGTTGACTGAGAAGAATTTGGACTGTTTCAATACAGCCTGGAACACAGGGGAATTCAGAGGGTGGAGGAAAGCGCATGTTGGCCATATCTAAACCATGAATTTACTGTGCCCAACCCTTAGACAAGTTAGGCTCTGTGCTCAGCTACCAGCCTGGAAGCAGTGTAGCTGTGCATCCACACAGACCCAAAGGTGGTTAGCCCTGCTGAGAAACTATGCTAATTAATTGTATTCTGTTTCTAGTCTGATGGGTTGTGCAGGGAGCCATGCAGCATGTTGGAAGGCACTAGTGCTGGGCACAGGAAGCTTGTCATCTGGACATGGCGGTTGTGTCAGTATTTTAAAAGCTGTTTATAATCCATCAGCCTGATGTCTACCCTGTGCAAAATACTGAAATAGTTGGTTAATTGAGATTTGAAGGAGATGCAGTTGATGCCAGTCAGTATGGCCTTTTGATCTTACCAACTTGATATTTCTTGTTGATGAGATTACAAGTTGTAAATCAACTAGGAATCGACCACAGTCCAATGAATCCTTGTTCAAAAAGATGCATTGCACTAGATGGAGATCTAAACATGGAGTTTTGCACATCATCAGGGAAAGCGAGTTTCACAGATAGGAAGTCTCCTTGGAAATGGCAGACAGACAAAGTGAACATCTGGGCCCCTGGCTGTTCCTAGTTGTCTTGATGATCTTCAGGGAAATGTGGTCCCTAAAGAAGCCAGGTCATATGGGACGCTTTGAATTCCTCTCTCCGTTTCCCTCCAAAAAAGCAAATGGGAAACCAACCCAGCTCAGCCCACAGACTTAGGGTAGGAACTAAGAACATTTTAGAAAACAGGTGGTCTGTGGCATTCCGGGGCAGCCCCACATAGAAAAGGGCATATTTCAGCAGAACATGGAAGTGGAGATCATTATTCTTATGGAAATGCCCCCGCTTCTTTGCTAGCTGCACACATTAAATGGCATGATAAGTCACGTCAGACTCTGGTGGTAGAGGCGGGTCTGAACGTACCGCTCACAATAAGAGCCCCATGCGGCGCTTTGAACCGGTGCTGCCCCCGCTGAGAATTCAGATGCAGTTGAAACACAGTTTCAGAAGATCATGTGGAAGCTGTCCCCTTTTTCTCTTTTATTCCATGCCTGTCCTTTCAGGAGTGTCATCTGTAGCAGCCACAGCAACAGCCATTAGATTGACTTGCAAATCCACAGTTTCCTTTCCTTTCCATCCAAACTGAGGTGTGTTTGTTTTCCCTTCCAGTTCGATCGTAGCATACCAGCCAGCAGGTGACAACAGCCACACATTTGACGTCATGGCAATGCTTAAGTCGATTGGGATCTTCCTTGGGATATTCAGTGGATCCTTTGCGATGGGAGCAGCTACTGGAGTAGTCACTGCTTTAATATCTTTCCACTGGTGTTCCTGCAAGCTTACTTGGTGTCATGTTGTGTTAAACTGTTTTGCTCAAATCCAAGCTTTTGTGGCTTCTTCTGAAAGGAAAGCAATAAAACGGTTTGTTTAAGGGTGGGCCAGATAGTACTGCTATGGGGCATAAGCTAGCTTGATAACCTTGTACTGCACTGTTCTTTTCTTTATCGCAGCGCTTTATCATTAGGGGTATAGACTGCTTCAGTTTTATTTGACCAGAATTTTGGATACTAGCAATTGTCCACAGAATGCAGCCTGGCTTCCTCGAGCCTGCACTTTTATAAAGCTTTATTATTTGGAATTAAATTAAACGGGATTACTGTTGTGAGCAATGCAAGCAGGATTTGGCCCCTCTTCTGTACCATAAATACCAGTGAATCAATATGCTATCATAGTGCTAGGTGTCCTTGTACTGTTGCACACAGTCTGGTGTTTTTAATGTAAGGTCCTTAACAATCTGCAACGTCACCAAGTTCACGAAACTCCGCGAGTTCCCGTTGCTGGAAACAGGGTTGTTTTTCTTGATGTCTTGGAGCACGTTCCTGCTGGCTGAAGCATGTGGTTTTACAGGTGGGACACGTCTTATATCCTACAAGGGGAGCATGGGGGGGCTGGGATTCACAGTGATGACTTTAGCCTGTGGCAGCTGAGAATCAGGAAGCCATAGAGCAGCACTAATGTATTCACTGGAAACTATAATCTCACTTTGTATTATTTTTATACTCTAGCACAAAAATATATTTATTCAGTATTTTGTGATTGTTGAATAAAACCAACCAGCTGTCACCATGTAGCTTTGTTTCCCATTTGTGTGTTAAGGTCTTAATATAATACTCTGTTCCTCAGGTGTGGTAGCAGTACTGTTCTGTGGGATCACGCAAGCCCACTACACGTATAACAACTTGTCTACTGAGTCCCAGCATAGAACTAAACAGGTAAGAATTATTCATACACATTGACATGAATTTTCCCTTCTCCTTTGCCAGAACTGCTTGTTTTCTAGAAGTGACTTTCGCAGAGAATCACTTCTGTGAAATCGCTGATATTTTATAGGCATAATAGCACATTTGTCTTATCGCAAGATAAATAACTGTCTATTTTTTTCTTTTTAGTTGTTTGAGCTTCTGAATTTCTTGGCAGAAAACTTCATCTTCTCCTACATGGGACTCGCATTGTTCACCTTCCAGAATCACGTCTTTAACGCCACTTTTGTAGTAGGGGCTTTTGTATCCTTTAGTCTGATTTAAAAAGCATCAAGGAAAACAGACACGCAGTTTTACTATAGGCTAGATAAAATGTGGGTTTTTCTCAGTCCCTTTTTAACTTTCAGAGCATGAGGATTTTTCTTTTGTGTTTCTTTCTAAGTTGACTGTTTTTTAAAATACGAATCTCTGATTCTGGCAAGTTTTTGTCTCTTTGCTTTATCCCATTTCAAGGGGTGTTATAACCACCTCATTGTGGAACTCTGCACTGAACTGTGACTGTGTGGTTGAAGACCTCGCTGCTGTCACACGTGAATGTGGTATTGTAGAAAACGGTAGTGCTTTTTTTTTGCAAGCTGGAACTTCCTGATATAAACAAGCCGGTTTATAATCTGTTCTCATACTGTTCAGGATCCAAGTGTTCGTATTTAGTCAACCCTCCCCCAAATTGTTCTGAAATAAGTATCATTATGCCTAAGACCAGGCTTACAAGTTGGCCAGTACTGACTCAGCCTGGGTGGTTTCCATTTACACAGACACAAAGTATTTCTACGAATGACAAGTGAGGGTTGCAAGGAGTTTTAATTTGAATTGGGGAGAAACCTTGACAGTCTTGCAAAATGCCTTTCAGAGTTTACCTGGATTGATACACGAGTAAATGTTTTTTTGATACTTGAGTAAAATGGCATTCACTTTTTTTTCCCCCTTCCCTTTGTCAGTGCTTGAGAATAGATTTTTATGGTGTAAATTTGGGCCAGCTTAAGAAGGAAGCATTCCTTAATGTGTGTGCAATTGTAGCTTGCCATCTTCCTGGGAAGAGCTGCTAACATTTACCCTCTGTCCATGTTACTTAATTTGGGTAGAAGAAACAAGATTGGAACAAATATCCAGCACATGATGATGTTTGCTGGTACGTTTTCCTCATCCCTGTCTGTCATATCCCTGAAGTGTGATAAGCGGACCTTGTGTGGAACACTCTGAAACAGTTGTCCTCCAACTTGAAACTTAATTATTATGCACATGAATAAGAGGACCTTGTACTGGCTATTCCGATGTTCATTAGTAGCTTGTTAATTCTGGTAAAGTTCTTAGTTTAGTTTAGAGAGAGATCTCTGCAGCACTTTGCTGTAGCACTAAAATGAGGAAGGAGGTTCCCAGCTCTGCATAGTCTTGCCGTTGTCTTGGGCATAATACTTTACTACTCCTGTCTTCTGCATTTTTAAATGAGGATTGTAATGACAATCTCTCAGGAGTTTTGAGTTTTTAGCCCACTTTGAGATCCTCAGAACAAAGATACTCCAGGAAGGCAAAGGTTTGTTAGAAGTTAGCTGGGCAGCAGTGGCCTAGTGTCTGAGAAGATTGTAGAATGCCAGGAGCAAGCATTGTGATTTCTAGATTAACTAGGGTGTACGTAGGGAATGTAGCTGCCTCAAGTAGGACAGTGGGAGCTAACACGGCTGCAAATTGCATGAGACTGGGGGAGTTAGACCTTGTTTGCTTTTCTACTCAGGGCTGCGAGGAGCCATGGCCTTTGCCTTGGCTATTCGAGACACCGCTACCTACGCTAGACAGATGATGTTCAGCACAACGCTTCTCATAGTGTTCTTCACTGTCTGGGTTTTTGGTGGTGGCACCACAGCCATGTTATCATGCCTGAATATTAGGTGAGTGTGACCTTTGTGTCCCTATTCCTAGAATTCAATGAACTCCTTAGATCGGATCGAATGGGATGTCATTTCACCTGCACTGTCAGTCTCTATGCCTTGTCCCATCCCAGGAGCAGCTCTCTGAAGTCTAAGGGCTGTGCCTTAAAACAGAAACTGTTTTTAATTGCCTTATTCTATTATGTCAATCTGATGTCCCTTTCCATGGAGACAGTTTCTTTCAGCTGAGTAGCTAAAGTTTGCTGGCTGAGCCCGAGCCCTGAGTGCTCTGTAAGCTTCAGGCTTGCAGAGGTAGTGGGTGCCATGGCCTGTAAAAGTTTTTACTTTGGGAACAGGAGAAACCTGTCTGAATTCTTCCTTACTAGTATCCCCCCTCCACTCCTACAAATGGGAAGATTGATACTTTTAAAAAGGGTACAAAACTGATCTTTACTTGTGTGGTTGTGCTGAAAGAAATACCAGCTTGTGATGTAGATGCCTTTTTTCTTAATGCCATGCCTGTACATAGGCCATCTCTGTCATATGGCTTCTGTTTGGGAGCTTTGAATGCAGGGGTTTAATTCCTCACAGCAGGCCACTGAACCAGAAGGGTGTCGACATGCTGAGGAGTTGGCCTTTGGAGAGCTGCCATTCATTTTATTGCAAGCTTCTGAACACATTGGGACAAGAAGAGATCAGAACTGAATAATGTCAGGGATCCTGTGTCTCTACAACCAGGCAAAACCCAGAGCAACTCTTGCTAATTCTCTTGCATGTGGGGGACCTGGAGACAGCCATGGTCAACTAGTGGAGTGAATCCTCTTCACTGGGTGCTTCTTTAGACATGGGCTCTGATAACTGGCACACATTTAGTAGCAAAGTGGTAACGTTGGCCCTGGTGCAGGGCGTTTCTGATTGCGTGCATGGACAGAGGCTGCTGCAGGAACTGGGGGCTGTGCGGGAGGGGCCAAACTCCTAGCGAGCTTGGCCCAGCCCCTGCATGATCAGAGCAGGAACCAAACTCCTGCCAAGTAAATAAATGTATATTTACTTTTTCTATTTTGACGTGATTTTTATAAAGTTTTTAACAGTATACTGTGATTATTAAATTGTCTGGCCCCCAAACCCCTAACTTCACACGATTCTGAACATTTAAATTGATAAAAATTGATAAACACAAAAGAAAAGCTTTAAAATAAACAGCAGTTTTTAGCCATCAAAATGATTAAAAAATAAAAACCGAATTCTGCCAAATCTATGTATTTGTAACCCCTGAATGCATTCATCTGCCATTATGCAGCACTGCTAGCACATCATGGCATGAGGGCAGGCTGAATTTTTAATGCTTTTAGCAAATGCAGATCAGACTAGTTCCCCTCCCAACTCTGGTCCCAGTTCAGAAGAACATTTGAGCACATGGTGTATTTAAAAATTGTAGTGGGATTTAAACATGTGCGTTAAGTACTGTGCTGAGTAGGGGTGTCGAGGCACTTCCGCTTTGATCTGTCATGATTGTTGCTGTTTCAGAGCTGGGGGTGTTATCTGACCAGAATGACATGCAAATGGACAGGGTTTGGGAGCATCTCATCTTCCATGTGACGAGCTAGATTGCAGCCTGTCCAAGTGGCAGAAGAAGGTGGTGAAAGAACTTGGCCTGCTCCAAAAGGGTGTCCCTGGAAGAGAGCGCCTCTGAAAGCCTTTTATCTTGTGTGTACATATAGGGTGGTTTGTGTGTGCACTAACCATTGACTTGTTTTCTCCTTAGAGTCGGAGTGGATGCGGATCAAGAAAACTTAGTAAGTATATGTTCCTTAGTAACTAGCTTTAAATTAGCCTGGCCTGAAAGAATGATTAAACCTCGTCCTCTGCTTTACCCTGACAGTTAATGTTTCCCTTTTAATGAAGCATCTGCAGTGCACTGTTTTTCCCTCTTGATTGTCACACACTATTCTATTCTATCTTCTGCACTTCTGGCTTCCTGTGTTGATTTATCTTGCAAAACAGGAAATAACAGCTTTAGAGCACAGACTCGAGCAGTGCACAATCAGGGAGCTGGTGTGCCTGGATACAGTAGTGTGCAACTTTTCTTGTGCGTGTGACACCTGCACATTTCAGCTCTCACCTTGTAGCTCCTCTGTGTGAGGAACTCTTGCCATTCCAAAGGAGGCTCTGCCCTTGGAGACTCCAAGCCCTGTTTGCCTAGGCCGGGGTTCAGATCTGGCCCATGAAATGGTTGGATCCAGCTCATGGCCATAGAGTTTCAGCAGCATTTGGTAGTTGGTGGGTATTGGCTTTGGGCACTCTCCCCAAGGACAAACTGCAGCAACGGCTGGGTCTGAGTGCCTGCCCACCTCCAACCTGGGGTGGGTCATTCTGGCCCATAAAAAATTGCCTACCCTAGTGTCAGTTGTTATAGGATATTTCATTCTTGAAGATCAGCTAATCCTCACTAGAGAGAGCAGGCTGGGCTATACTCCAAAATAGCCCAGCCTGCATGGATGAGGATTAAGACAAAGAGTTTGGTCTGTCATGTGTGTGATTCTACACAGAGAGAAATGGCACCAGCCAAGGTGGATGGGAATGGAAGGCAGGCTGCAACTCCCCTGTTGCCCCTAATGAAGTGTTTTGTCTTTATTAAATTGTCCCAGGGAGCAAGGGTTTGTGTGGGGAAGACACTAGAAGGGAGTGGGTGGTGAGAAGGAGAGGACTAGTCTCTAACCCACAGACACTCTGGCAGTTCATATGGTGCTGGCTGCTGAATCACGTTAAATGAAAGGCTGTGCTAGTACAGCATTGCTGTGTAATCAGTTGCTATAATCCAAGGATGTTATGTAATTACAAAAGGGAGGGAACTGGTGGGGGTCCGTGATCATGAATTAAATGGCTATGAAGAAGAAAAACAGACCCTCTTCCTTCATTCACATATGTAATTTGGAATGCCTTGATCTAATTCATGTTGATAGGGGCAGGACAGCACAGTGCTCTAACTTGTGACTCTATTACAGGGGGTCCCAGAGAACGAGAGGAGGAGTACGAAAGCAGAAAGTGCCTGGCTGTTTAGGATGTGGTACAACTTCGACCATAAGTATCCTTAATGGAGAGAAAACCATACAGAGCCAACACCAGTCCAGAAATGTAACCTGGTTAATTCTGAGCATAGCCTCCCTGTGGAGAGAAGAGCCAGGTTCCCTGTTCTATAATATTGCTGTTTATGCTTTACTTATAATGCCTGCACCTGGGAAAACTTCTCCAACTGTTCCCACCCACAGTTAATGAATGTGCAGGAGGAGCTCTGCTCTAAGCCAAGCACAGAAAAAGGTTGAAAATACAGAGTTACTCAAACTCCCGTGTGTGATGATGTGACAGGAGTGTAGGAAGGCTACATGCTATTTTCTTACAGCCCTTCCCATGCCCGTTAAAACGCTCTTAATTTCTTTTGTGCCTGTCTTGTTTTGTTTGTACGTCACGATGACTAAGCATAGAAGTCGTTAGCTGGGCTCTGGTGAAAGGTGCAGCGTAATGGAAGAGAGGTGCTCCTGTTGCCTCTTGTAGAAGAGGTTCTTAGTAGCTTGACTTAAAGACTTGGTGAAGTTAGGGTTTAGCTTGACCTGTTAACTTGCATACCTTGCATTCACTAAGATTTTGCCTTATAGTATTTTGGCCAAATGTGTGTTAGTGAAGGCAGAGCTGTGGGTACCTGAAAAAACATTTGGGTTGAAAATGAAGTTTTAGTAGTGATGTGATGTCTCAGCCGTGAGAGCTGCTGCTGGGGACACTTACCAGCAGTAAAAAGGGATGCAGGTTGAACGAGCAGGTGAGTGGTGTGATACATTCTTGTAGGGTAGAGACTTGAATTGTAAAGTGCAGAGAAGAGCTTAAGGGGTGAATTGGACAGTCTGTTGTCAGGAGAATAGAAGAATTTAGCTTTAATCTAGCAAAATGGAGGCTGAGAGGATTTGAGTGCAGTTTCTGAGCTCAGTAAACATCAGGGAGGAAGAAGGAGAGCTATTGAAGCTAAAGAACAATGTTAGCACAAGAACAGGTGGGTATGAACTGGCTAGGAACAAATTTAAGCCAGAAATTAGAAGATGATTCTTAACCATTGGAGCTCTGAGTGTCTAGAATAGCTTTCCAGTGGGTGTAGCATGGGCAGAAAGTAACTCCTTATAAGATGGAGTTTGGCCAGTGGTCTGGTGCCTGCAGGAGCCAGGGACTGGACTCAGTGATGAAGGAGGTCCTGGGTTCTTCTTGTCTCTGTTGTTGGGTGCTGTGTTTTCAGCAGAAGACTGCAGTCCCATCCCCAGCCTCCTTCCCCCTCTGTCTTTAATTGAGAGAAGTGTTTCTGTCGTAATCACTTTTTTGACCCAACGCGTTGTGCCCTTGGATTGATATACATAGCAGTGCTGGCATTTCTTCCTTAACGTACCCCGTAGCTATTTAAAGCCTCTGTTGACACACAGTGGTCCTCCTCTCACAACTACGCTTCCTAGTTGTTGTGGACCTATTGCCAGATGCTTGACAAGTCCTCAGGCCTATGAAGTAAGTCTATAAAGTTTGTCTAACAAACATGCTCTTTCTGCCATAATGTTTGATTCTGAGGTATTTATCCTTCTTTTCAGTTTCTGGAGCATATAACCTGAGTCGCTTTAGACCCCTAGTTCATGTTTCCTTGCATTTGCTGCATGATGTTGTAGAATGCAAGCGTTCCATCATTAGACCGTCCCCTCTCAGTATTGCCAACACATGAATCGTTACTGGGATTCTTGCACCATGAAGCGGCAGATGCTGGGAGGTTTATGAAAACCAGAAGCTTAGTCTGGCAGATAATGAAGCACCTCCAACATGCATTTTGCTTTCACAATTGACAGTGCTTGGGCATGAAGATATGACTGGGAGTTAGTTGCATCATTCACACCATGTAGTGACGGTGGCAGTTGCTCTGGTGGATGGGTAAAGTTAGGAAGACAAGATTTGTTAGTCAGAATTAGACTGGTTATGGTCTTGTCTTCAGTGGTGCCTAGTACTCATAATGCACCCGTTTCCTCGCATCCTGTCTCTAGTGGTGCCAGTTCTTTGTTAACATGAACTGTTGCAGCCCATAGCCACTTACAGTAGTCTTTATTCATAGCAAGAGCTCCTAAGAAGGGAGACAGCTCAGGAAGAATACCTAGCTGAGTGCCTTCATTTGCTAATATCGTAGATCCAGGTGTCTTGGAATCACATTGTTGGCGAGGGCACCTTTTAGTTGCAATCAGTGTGACAGAGTCTTGTTACTGGTGGTAGCTGGGAGTAACTGATGAGGAAATAAACTTTTTGTCTTTGCTGTTCAGAATCAAGAGCAGCTGAAGGACGATGATTCTGATCTTATTTTGAACGACGGAGACATCAGTTTGACATACGGGGATTCTACCGTGAACACTGATTCTGTAACATCTAGTGGTGCTTCACGGAGGTTTGCTGGAAACAGCTCTGAAGAAGCACTGGATCGGGAGCTCGCTTTTGGGGATCATGAACTTGTAATACGGGGAACACGCCTGGTTCTTCCCATGGATGATTCTGAACCTCCATCAAATGTGCTCGATAGCGCAAGACATGGCCCAGCGTAAGATTTATTTTGTTTGGTTTAATTGACAGTAATATTTGCATATATGATTATGAAGAAATATGTACTACCTAAAAGCTAATGCATGTCTCAAAATGTCTAAGCTGTATAAATATTATTTATATGGTGTCAGAAGAATATAAATATTCTCTACAAAGCAGCTTGTCAAGAGCAAGCTGCAGTTTCTTAAGTTAAAACCCATCTGGACTGCACTGTGTAGAGTGGAACTGTTTTAGGATAAGAAGCTTTGTGCCCAGTGAACTTCTTTTAAGGTGGTGTGGAATAGGTTTTGAGGAGGACTTTAGGTCCGAGTTACTCAAAGTGGCTAACTTGAGTCCTATTAGCATTCAAATTTCTGCCGAACGCTACCCAAAATGCCAAATGAAACGTTTTCTTTCTGTTGCTCTGCCTGCTCAGAGTGGAAAGGAGAAGTCAGCTAAAGATGGGAATTCCTTATTTTTCACCCAATAATGGTTACGGTCTCTGATCTTGAAATAATCACATTATATTATTGGCAAAATGTCTCCTCAAAGACTGGCCTAATAGTCTACTAGCCAGCTGCATGCTGCACTGGAAGGGGAAAGGAAGCATTTTGTTTTGAAGTGACTCACCCACTCTGCCCACGCCACTGTTGAGAGAGGGAATGATTGGCATTGGCAAAAGCCACATGCAGTCCATCTCAAATTGGAAAGCCGTGCATCGCAGCAACCCGCCCACAGGTTGGAGTCCAGTTTCACTCTTCCAGAGAAGTTTTGTGTTTGCAGTAGCGTTTTGGAGGCATTCACACATGCGCTGCATCAGGCTCATTGCAGACGCTTGTAGTCGGTGAGTTTGCATTTCAGTTGTAAATTAAGCAGCTTTTTCTAGAAATAGTAAAGCAATTCTAAACGTATTTGAATTTTAAATTCTGGGCATTGACCATGTCTTGTGTGATTGAAGCTCTTTACTACTTAGTCACTGAGATTGCTGAATAGGTGTACAAGGCCCACAGTTCCACGCTATACCCTGGAGGCAGATCTATCTAACCCCCCGTAAGCATAAAGGTTTGTAGATTGAAACCCTACTTGCAGATTTCTTAAAAGGTACTTAAAAAATTAAGTGGTACTGAAAGAGAGTTGTCCGTCCTCCTGTATAGTTAAAATCATTGCACTTTGTTTGGTAACTTCTTAGCATGCAGTGTGTCAATAATCTCCCTGATCACTCATGTCTCTTTCTGTTTAATAACAAATGTTTGTGAGCTGACATGTTTTTTATATTTTTTCCAAGGAAGAGCACAGAACAATTTGCTATTTCACATTAGTGTATTAGAAATTATTCTACAGCAATGGAAATGGCTAAAGGTGCAGTGAACATTTAAGAAGCCGCAAACTTTGTCTTATTTTCCTTAAGAAAAGGTTGCGGCAAAGAATTTACTGTGCATAATTTAATTTACCTTTTACATTATCCAGCCTCCCTTCCACAGTCACAAATGCACTCCAGGCCTGTTGCAAAGTTAGCTTGCAGTTTGTCAGAACGGGAACACACACCTGAGAGGATACAAGACCTGCTCCTTGGAGGCACCGAGTGTTCATGACTCCCATTGACTTGTATTTGAGAGGACTCTGCCCCTCTCAGGGTCAGGACTTGAGATGTCATTGCAGTTTTTTCCCCCCTTTTGGCTGTTTCCCCACAACTACTGCAACACTAACCAAGAGTGGAAGGCATCGCGGGGAAATATTTAAACTTTGGCTGAGTGTATGTTTCTAGTTCAGGAAATAGATTTAAACTTTTTTCATTTTCTCAGGTCTAAGTAACATTGCCTTAAATTTACCGAAGTGGAACTAATTTTTTTTTCCAGTTAAATATCCCCAAGGAAACACTTTTTTCTTTGTTCCTTTCCAAACAAAATGTATAGGTTTTTCTCCATAGGACTCCTCTGTACCAATGTACATGCTGTTTATAGTTAGGGAAAACAGAATCTTCATTGCACCCAGGAAATGGCAGTTTTAGCTGTTAACGTAGCCATTTGTTTAGTGCTAGCCTGTTTGTTTCCTGCTGTGCAGGAATCCCATGACGTGTGCATTTTATATGACGTCTCTACCTTAACTTCATGTTTAAAAAAGAAAAAGGAAAAAAAAAAGTTGAAAATGTTGTTGTTTTGGTTTACTTCTACATCTTTTTGTTTTATTTTGCCTTTGTAAAGAGGTATGCTAAACCTCTTGTTTTTTCCTGTCTAATCTCGCTATGAATTCAATTTACAAAACCCACGAAGATATTACAGGCGCTGCTGTTCTGATCTGCTTTTGATGAAGGCACACCCACCAGCTGATATTCCTCTGTTCCTAAATAATTGGAGGAATTTGTTTGCCTCCTGCTCTCTTCCCCTGGAGAATCCACTGTCAGAGCAGTCTAATTCTCCAGCTTTGTCTGTTGACCTTCATGGAGAATCCTTGTGCCTCCAAATCCCATCCACAATCCCACTGCTCGAGTTCCTCTTCGAGTCTCAGTGCAGGGCGCTAAAGGGCTCCAAGGGCTAGAGCTGAGCTAGAAATCAATGGCAAAACTCTCCTTGGCCTTGTCTAGGGTTTTGCCTACACTTCAGAGCCTCTGCTGCTGCAGCTGCACTGGTATAGCTCCGTCAGCAGAGCCCCTAGTGTTGGCGTATGTCTTTAAAGCCTAATGTCAGTGAGAAACTAAGACTGAGAACCATGCCTTCATTCATAGATTGTCAGGGGCTGGAAGGGACCTTGAAGATCATCGGGTCCAGCCATCATCGGTTCATCTCTCACTCGATAGCACTGGGCACTGCCCCTACGCCACAGTTAACTTTTCTAATTGACTGGTGTGCAAGTGCTCCTTTATTTCTCTCTCCAACCTTAATGCTTTATCTTCTGTTGGTATTTGCCAACGTGTTACCTTATTCCTTAACAATTTTGGTCAGCATCATGAGGTCTCCCAAATACAGAAAAAGATATTAACAGTTTGGAGGCTCCAGGCATTATACTGCGTGTGAAACATTATATAAGGGGATTTTTTTTTTTTAAATGAAAGCTGGACCAGTGGGTGAATAAACCTAATCCTGAAATCTAGAAGGGATTCAACAGGAACAACCCAAATTGGTAGGAAACTGATGGTTTTCTTTCTTTGGTTGCCGTTAAGAATGCGTGGAGCTGGATCTTGAGATGCTGAGCATCTTCAGGTGAAACTGAGTGCTCAGCCCCTCTCAAAGTCTGGCCCTGAGACCCTTTGCCAAATACATAAGACAGCCTCTCGCATAATTCTGCAGCTCAAATAAAGAGGTGGAGAAGTCACCTCTTTGGAGTCTTCTCGTCTGTAAATTGAATTTGTATGGGTTTTTTGCACATGAAAAAGCACTATAGGTTCAGTTATGGTTTATACTAGTATTGTTGAATTGTCCGGTAATGGCATTAACCTCAGTAGTTGTGGTGTTTGTGCAGCTGATTCGTGATAGCTGGTGATCATTTTTGCACCTTTTGTTTACACTGACTAAATCTTTTACTGTTACATTGTACTGTGAAAGAAGGATTATGGGCCTATAAATGTTTTTTTTTTTCCTTGAATAAGTCTGTACTGTTTCTTTAATTCACAAGGAAATAAATCTGTAAGAAATTTAAGGCATGGCATATTTGCTTTCTTAAAAAAATGTTGTCGCAGCGCTGTGATAAAAAATAAGCAGGCACCGCTGAGTCAAGTCAATGACTGTACAGAGTGTGGCTTCCCACACTCCACGCTGCTTGCTTGAAACAGTAGATTGACCTGTTAAAAGGCATTAGCACCCTGAACTCGGCCAGAGCAGCACCCTTGTCATTTTGGACTTTGGAAGTTCACCGCTGCACCCTGGTGATCCAAGAGGGAGTGGGCCTGACATGTGGTTGATCTCTAGGCTATTGGGAAAGCCCTGAACCCTGTTGTCACAGGAGCTGTACAAAGCCAGAGCAAAAGGACCATCTCTTCCCTGGAGACTCAGCAATCTTCGTATAAAAGAGGCAGCGATGAAGGAATACAATGGGCAGATGCAGGGAGCATGAGGACATAATGCGATGGTACTGGTGACATGGTAAGCAGCTGTTACAGCTCTCAGTACTTACAGACTGGAAAGCAAAGACACCAGGGATGATGCAAAGCAGTGGCAGGGCTTGGGTTTAAACCTAGAAGTTCAGATTCTTGAACTTTCATTTTAACTGTAAGGCCATGATTTTTCCCTTCATGCCAGTCTCTTAGAAAAAGCACTTCATTGGTTCCTTCTAAGTATGTTGTATAAAGTATTTTCTGTTGCAGATGTTTATGATTGATCCCTCTGACCTGGTGTTACACACTCTCTCTTCACGTAGAGACACTAACACAGTCATTCTGTTGTGCAGATGAAGCAATGGAGCTGTTCTCTTTTTGTCTGAGTAAACTTGTCTGTAAAACTCTATATAACCCATCAGAAGATAGCAGAAGATCATGAATGTGTTTTGGTTGCTTGTGCATAAAATCATTTAGCCTAGTCAGCCCACATTCCCTTTTGCAAGTGGAGATTTGTACGGTGGTCAGACAGCGAGGAGGCAGTGGCAATGTCACGTTCGTCCTGTCTGACCTGTTTGCACCTTGTGATCTGCAGGCAGCAAGGAGGCCTCTGTTTTACATTTTCTGGACCGTGGTGATTTCTGTCTGAGGTGCAGCATTCACCCACATGCAAAACTGACTACAGACAAGCTAGTGCAGTCTCAAACCACAGACAAGAACTGCTTGCCAAGAGTCAGCTTTGTTCCAGACATCTGCACCACTGAAACCCACGTGAAAATTTGACCCAAACATCAAGGCACCGTTGTTTTATTAAAGAAACGTATTCAGTTGAACAGTGACTGTCTCACAGCTGCTCTACCTGATTTGCACAAATCATAACAAATGCAAACACAAATTGTATAATTTATTCCACATAAAATTGTTCAAGCTATTTAGAAGCTGAAACGTGGTTGAAAGAGAGCTGTTGTTCAAAGAACAAGACATGGGGGAGGGAGGAGGGTACTTGACAGCTAACACAGCATCCTGGTGGTGCACACAGCGTTTACCAGTATCGATGAGGGGTTGGTTGGTTGCTTAAGATGCTGTGTAATGGGCACAGGCAAACTGTGCGGGCTATAATGATTACAGAGTGGAGTAATAACAAAGACATTTCCATGTGGATCCAATAAATTTTGTCACGGCCCTTTGATAAAAAGTAACATTGTTACTGATGGGGTAATGATGGGTTAACATCATTAATTTGTGCTTCTGTAATGAAAACCAGGGTCGTTATGAGTTTCTCAGGAGAAGCAAGTGCCGTTTTCTTCAGATCCCCTCCTCTTGCTGGAGAGAGCGGTGTATTATTTCTTTTCTTGTCCTTGCTCTAAGAAGAATTCTTACGGCAGTGGGTAAGAGGAGGTAAGAAGTTGCTGCACCATGAACGCTTGAATGGTCTGTGCAGTAACACCCTGACATGCACCCTAAACAGCTGGTCTGTGCTGAACTTTTATTCACAACAGCTATTTGTATATAAAAGCCAGTGCAAACATAGAATCACCTTCACAGTAGAAAGAGCACTTTAGCAGTAGTTTCTTCTCGCAGTTTCTCAAAAGAGCCCAACACCATCCGTCCCTTCCCCAGACGTTCCAACTCCACAGAAGTTCATGTTAACAATATCATATAAACTTGGTTTAAAAAAAACTTGTCCAAGCCTCGTAGGGCTAATGCTGGATTTTACCAGCTGCATCTTTATGCAGAACACATGTTCATACAGTGCTGTTCCCCTACTCTGTGGACTCTCTGGAGAGAGTTCTGAAATATTAAAAAAGAAAAAGAAAAAAAGAAAAAAAAAAAGCTTCTGTTCTGAATCAGATTTATTGGATATTTTGAGGTCTTGCCTGCCTTCAGTTCCTCCAGCCTATCCGTCCTGCTTTGATGATGCAGTAACACAAAGTAACCCTGCAAATGTGCAAGGACTTTCCAACATGGAGAAGTTGCTGGGAGATAAGGTAAGGGGTGACCTTAATGCACAGTAGCCGTTCTGTCCTCGTGGGTGCCTCTGTCTCAGACAGAGGTTGTCTATATACATTTTAGCCTGGTTCATCTTGAAAGCAGATGAACCTGAGCTACCCAAAGGCACTTGAAGTCCGGAGCAAGGATGTCCACGTAGGGAACGAGTGCGTGGTAGCATTCTGTACTAGCTGCCCTGGGCTGGCTCCACATTCGGGCCTACTTTATAACAGGCAAATTCTTATTCATTGCAGATCTCATTCGGGGTGGGGAGGAGAACTGCAGGACCAGGAGGGGAATAAATTCCTGCAGGATGATAGGTTTTCTCCCTCTCACCCCCAAAACACACCTTGGCATCTGCTTTCCCCTGGCAGTTGCTCTACAGGCTGAGTTGCACTAGTGTATCCTCAGATGTCGTTTAAACCGCTTTAGGAAAGAGGGTCGGGACGAAC